GAGGCAAATTTACTTAACAAAAGTTTAACTTAGCAACAGAAAATTTGGGCTCAATTTTGGTGCTAATTCAAACTCTTACCTGTAGTTATGCATTTGCTAAAAGTTAACACTAACTAGAGCCGAGGTGGTGCAGTGGTTAGGGTGCAGTACTGCAGGCCACTTTAGCTGACTGTGATCTGCAGTTCAGCGGTTCAAATCTCACCGGCTCAAGGTCGACTCAGCCTTCCATCCTTCCGAGGTGGGTGAAATGAGGACCCGGACTGTGGGGGCAAGTTGCTGACTCAATTTGCTAAAAAATTGGTAAACCGCTTAGAGAGGGCTGAATGCCCTATGAAGCGGTATATAAGTCTAATAAATAAATAAATAAACCTAGAAATAAGGAGGAACTTTCTGATAGTAAGAACAATCAACCCAGGAACAGCCTTTGGAAGTTGTGGGAGCTTCATCACTGGAAGCTTTCAAGAAGAGACTATACTGCCATTTGTCAGAAATGGTGCAGGGTCTCCTGCTTGGGCGGGGGGGGGGGTTGGACTAGATTACCTACAAGGTCCCTTCCAACTCAACAATCTGTCAAGATTTGGAGGGTGTCAGGTTGGAGAAGGCTGATCTCCATGTTTCTCCTGGCCAACCTCTTTGATTTCCTGCTTGATATTCAAAAGGTTATTAACTGATGCTCTTTCCAGGTAGACGAAGAGGGCAACTGTCCAGCGGGGCAACTCTGCCTGGATCCTCACACCAACGACTCCGCCGTGCTCAACGCCCTCTTCGAGGAGCTGGATTCGGAGAACGGCTCCGTGCCCATGGAGTACCGGAAATGCTGCTACGGCTACTGCATTGACCTCCTGGAGAAGCTGGCCGAAGACTTGCCCTTCGACTTCGACCTCTACATTGTGGGCGACGGAAAGTACGGGGCTTGGAAGAACGGCCGCTGGACGGGGCTGGTAGGAGACCTCCTGAGTGGCACGGCCCACATGGCCGTGACGTCCTTCAGCATCAACTCGGCCCGGAGTCAAGTGATCGACTTCACCAGCCCTTTCTTTTCCACCAGCTTGGGCATCCTGGTGAGGATCCGGGACACGGCGTCGCCCATTGGGGCCTTCATGTGGCCGCTGCACTGGACCATGTGGGTGGGCATCTTCGTGGCTCTCCACATGACGGCCCTCTTCCTCACCTTGTACGAGTGGAAGAGCCCCTACGGCATGACGCCCCACGGCCGCAACCGTATGAAGATCTTCTCCTACTCCTCAGCCCTGAACCTCTGCTACGCCATCCTGTTTGGCCGCACCGTCTCCAGCAAGACCCCCAAGTGCTGGACGGGCCGTTTCCTCATGAACCTCTGGGCCATCTTCTGCCTCTTGGTCCTCTCCAGCTACACAGCCAACTTGGCCGCAGTGATGGTGGGCGAAAAAACTTTTGAGGAACTCTCTGGGATTCATGATCCCAAGGTTGAACAAATACTTCTCTTTCTATGCCCTCCTTGCCCTTCTTTTCACAGTGTCCTCCTCAGCCTCCCTGTCTTACTCAACTTCTTCTCCATCTTCTTCTTCCTTCCCTCTAAATTTCTTCTCTGTCTCTGCTTTCCCTGTGTCCCATAGTTAAGCTTGGCTTCCCCTCCATCCACCTTCCAGCCTTGTGGACCATTCCAAATAAGAACAATTGTGTTGCATGTAACCAAAGTGTCAACCCTGAAGCTGAAGCCATTTTGGAGCTTCAGTCGTGCCCCACTGGAGCTGGGGAATGTGGAGCGGGGGAGTAGAGATAGCTGGGGTTGTGTAGTCAAAATAAAATACCATATTTTTCAGAGTATAAGATGCTCCAAAGTATAAGATGCACCTAGCTTTTGAGGAGCTTCCTTGCAGCAAAGAGCAAACAGACTGTTTCAGCTTCAGCACAGCCTGATTAGCACAAGCAGCTGATTGTTGGTTAGATCAGCCTCCCGATGATCAGCTGTTTCAGGGATTGCAATAGCCTATTGCTGCCTCCGCATGCCCCATTTTCAGCCTGTACATGCCCCCATTTTCCATTCCGGGTAGTAGGAATTGGAATAGGTGGGAAATGGGGTGCGCGGAGGCAGCAATGGCAATCCCTGCAGCCTGAAACAGCTGATGGTCGGGAGGCCGATCCAACCAACAATCAGCTGCTTGTGCTAATCAAGCTGTTCGCTGTTTGCTGCAAGGAGGCAAATTGCTGGGAGGCAGAAGCCAAAGGGTCAGGGCCGGTGGGTGGGGCTACACTGAGTGTATAAGACGCACACAAATTTTCACCCTCTTTTAGGGGGGGGGAGTGTGTCTTATACTCCAAAAAATACAGTACTTTCTCTTGGGGACCAAGGACGGTCTCACACCTCGCTGGAGGAAGGTGGACTGATGTCACCAGACGAGCAGACACTGCCTTGATTGGGCCATGTGACTGATTGTTTGGAATTGTGGGGGGGGGGGACTTGAACTTTTAATTAGGTGAAAACCGAGGGGCCCTTCACAGTTGGTTTTCACCAGATATGTGCCAATACTGCTATTCTTTGAGGAATCTACCCTACCTGCCTCAGAGTTTTTGCTTATTTATTTATTTATTTATTTATTAGACTTATATACCGCTTCATAGGGCTTTCAGCGGTTTACAAATTTTTTAGCAAATTGAGTCAGCAACTTGCCCCCACAGTCCGAGTCCTCATTTCACCCACCCTGGAAGGATGGAAGGCTGAGTCGATCTTGAGCCGGTGAGATTTGAACCG